AGAAAAGAGACAGACTGAGGTTAACGTAAAGTCTGTTTTTATTTTAAAGATAAAAGTCAAAATGATTAGGTTGGTTATACAACTCACTGTACATTATTCCCATATGACACGAGAGGCTTAAGAAGTGATAAGCCTTTTGGGATTATCGCGCTTGGTGGCATTTATGGCAAATTCTATTATAGACATTTTTTTAAATTTTAAAGTATTAAAGTTTAGTTCGTTGTATAACCTTTTGAATACCACTCGATGTTTCAGGATTACCTAATACTTTTACCTGACAATCAACGCGTTACCAGCAACTGCTGCGTAACGCGTTTCGTGACAGGTAAAAGTATTATCCGGTAATCCTGAAACCTCTTGTGGTATTACATTCGACAATACAATGTAAAATTGTCAATGCTTCCAAATTTTTTATGTAGAAAAGGCTTGTCTTGCCAACATAGTTACTAAATTTTTGACTTGGGAATTATCTTTCAAAAATAAACAGACTTTACCTATAACGATGAACTGGTTTTGCAGAGAATTTATGTCATATTCCTTCCACTGTTCTACGATTTTACACGTACTATTCAAATATTTTGAACAAATAATTTCTTATTTTCAAAATATCTAAGCATATACATTTCACAGAAAGAAAACACTTCAGGTTCAAAACTTAAAAAATTGGAGTGTTCATTTGTACTTGCTCTACCTGCTCAAAGAATCAGGAAGATCTGCTAGGAACTGCTATTTATGAGCTTATTATATGGGACAAGTTAACGCCGATCTCCTGCTGAGATCTGCTTGAAGCAAGAAATGCAGTACAAATGGACACCCCAAAACATTTACAAAAATTCAAGATTTTCAGGTTAGAAATGAGGCATCAGCTCCCAGTCATTTCTGGAAATTTGCAATATCTAAATTTATCATTCGAAGTAAGGAAATAACCTATCGCGTCTAAATAAGATTATAGCCTTATTAGGGCTGATTTGCAATATCTCTCTAATAAAGAGATAAATATTTAATAAGAATTTATTAACATTGTTATTAAACTATCTTACATCATTCAATAAGAATCCGAATTTTCTTCACTATCTGTGAAGTGTTTTTGACCTAATACAGTGTCGTTGCCTTGACTAATGTTCATACGGACCTTCGTACATCCAATGAATTTCTGTCGGGATTTTTGATGAGATTCGAACAAGTTTTTTTGACAAAAAAACGCACATCTGATATTTGATATTTTCAGCTGTATAATAGAAATATCTACTCACAAAATATAGTATGTAAGAATACCTTCTTACAAAAAAGAGACAATATAGGGTACCCCGAATTAATTCAGCACTATTACAAAAGTTATTAATTACCTACTAACTCCGTTATTATTGGAGCTACGAATTAAGTTAAATACAAGTTGTATGCAAATTTAAATCCAGTCAATAGTTTACACCAAAAAGTCATAAACGGTAGATATCTAATACGGACCGTGCACCACATAGAATCAATCGCATGCCAAGGGAATTTCAACCATCCTCGCATCTCTGGGTCCGAACGCGGTCGCCACGACATGCTTTCACATTTTACAGGTTTTTGACAAAACGACTTATCGGATTTTTGATTATAAAAAACCATTTGAATCCCTGATCTTTGATCTACAGCGTTTATAGAAAGTGTTTTTTTCATTAGAATAAACATTTTTGAGTTATCTATGTGTGAATGATGTTGCAATTTTGATGTTTCAGTGCGAGCTGTTTTATATTAAGGTAGGTACTCCATATAAATGCGTGTTGTACAAACATTCCAAAATTCGAAATAAAATACTTCTACTTGGAATTTTGAAATAAAACTTTTGCAGATCATTGAACACGTAGTGTAGATTCGAAAAATGAAAAAAAAAAAATTGCAATTTTTTGGAAAACAACCCCAAACTACCCCCTGCACCCCACGATTTTTTGACGACCAATCGATTTTGCTTTCTTAAGGCGTAAGGAACGATATAAGATAGGTTTTACATTTTAGCAATAGAGTTCCGACGGAATGACACGATAAAATCATTTTTAAACTCCACTATTATGACTTGGAGGAATTTTACGCAGAGGATTTCTGGCTTATCCGCACCGTATTATTTCTGTTGTACGTTTCCCACTAAGGTCGGCCAGGTACGATATTATGGAAACCATAGACCTCACGGCTTCGGGATTTTTTTTTCTCCACTAAATCGGCCAAGAGAAATTGATGGAAATTATTTTCAAGTTTCTGAGATGACCGCTAGAGGGCACAATTACGATGATATAGCTAAAAATTCAAATTTTCTCAAAAAATCGCTATATTAAGGTACTGTTTTAACACCAGAAATCAAAAGTTCATTATTTTTTACGCCAGTCTGGTTATTAGGCTTTTTTCGTATCTTCCCTAATAAGGATGGGGGAAGCTCGTGAAAAAATAGTTTTAGAACTTGCTGTATCTTCCATACCCCTCATCCAAACTCATTCAATTTGGGCTTATTTGGAAAAGAATTTCATTGTTATTAAGAACTTGGTTAGTTTGTTGTCGATCCCTTAATTGTAATTGGTTGAAGTTTTATTTGGGATTGGATCGAAATAAAACAACAGAAGTCTGTTATTTCAGATTGTCGACGTTTCGCAATATATTATTGCATCTTCAGGACACTACAAAATGGTAAGACAATGTTATTGTGCAGAGTCCTAACAACTCCAGTTATGTTTATAGTATTGGGTACTTACATTTGAGATTGACTTTCTATGTCATAACATGAACAATATACGAAGTTGTTAGGTAGGTACAGATTCATAAGAGACGTTACATTCACATACATGGTACAGTTTAAAACTTATCAAAAAATATCACAAAAACGTTATAAAAATAATCACACATTAAAACTTAAAAAGTAAATGATTTTAAAATAAAATATATAAGACAGACACAGCCAGCTGTTACTATTACAATAATAAATTAAATAGTGTTATCGTTCGTGGGAGCAAACAAAGAAAAACCAAGTAGGGAATGGCATCCGAATCAAAAAACACTAATATGAAAGCTTTTTTGTGATGATTATTTTGTTGTTGATAAAATGTTAAAATAGGCGTTACTTAAATTTTGTATATCTGTTCTTTTATTGACGCAATTTTTATCTTTTTGTATTTCGATCATCTCAGCAATTAGTCTTTTTCTGTAGTTAAATTGTGTTTGTAATATTGTGGTGTTGTCAAAGTCGAAGTTATGTCCTGTCTCTAGTTTATGTTCTACTAATGCTGTTGGGTTAGTCTTCAAGAGAAAGTTTTTTTGGTCATTTTGGTGTTCCTTCAGTCTTTGTTTCAAATATCTACCAGTCTGTCCGATATAGTTTTTATTACATTGAGAGCAAGGAATATTGTACACCAAATTTGATTTTAATTCCTTTTTAGTCTTTGATTTGGTTTTCGAGAAAAAATGCCTTTTTATGGTATTTTGGCACTTAAAGGTGATTTCGACTTTTTCTTCTTTCTTAGATTTATGGCCCTTGAATGTTCTTTTTATTCGTTCGGAAAGCTTTCCAATATAGGGGATTTTGCAAAAAAGTTTCTGATCACTTTGTTTTGTTATTTTTTTTGAATTTGTTTTTTTAAGAATTTTTCTTATTAGAGATAATGAATAATTATTATTCAATAACATCCTTTCTATGTACTTCAGGTTCTTACTATGAAATTTTCCAGAAGACAGTGCGAGAGCTCTAGTTTTCAAATTATTAATAATATTAATTTTTTGTTGAAGAGGGTGTTCAGACCAATAATTTAAAAATCTTTCGGAAAAACTAGGTTTGTGAAACCAATCAGTCTCTATGTTCTCTCCATATCTTAATATTAGTACATCTAGGAAAGCTATACTTTGTTGGTTTTCTTTCTCGATGGTAAATTGAATTCTGGGATGATAACTATTAAAAATATTAAGTATGGTTGCTTCTTGATGTTCAGGGATCGATGTTAGGATATCATCAACATAACGTTTATAGAACGGAAGTTGAAATGGGAGTTTTTTTATGCAACATTCCTGTAAATCTTGCATCACCAAATCAGAACAAATTGGCGATAAACAGTTTCCCATCCCCAGGCCATAAATTTGTTTGAAAAATTCATCCTGATACTGGAAATAACTGTTGTCAAAAACGAAAATCAACAGGTCTATGAACGTTCGTAGAGGAATTTTGACTTTGTTTTCTATGAGATGCCATTTTTTACTAACAATGTTAATTACTACATCTGTATGTATTAAGAACACCAATTCGTTCGGGGTCGATAGTTCCCACCGCGTCTTCTATAGGGCGGTGTTTATCCAAGATCCAGTTTTTTCAAAATTTCATAAAAAATCCAAATGGCAGGATATTATTTTGTTATTGCTGTGCTTAAAGAGCAAAAAAATATCTACATTTTGGCGCAAACCGCAATTCAATATCTGCATTCGTTTTCAAGTTACGTAAGGTCTATGGTTTCCATAATATCGTACCTGGCCGACCTTAGTGGGACACCCTGTATTTATAAACTTCCCAATTACACTAATGTCATTTGAATGTGCATGTCTTGACTTATGTATAGGTCCCGCAAAATAAGATGGCGAGAAAGCTATTTTCGCAGTAGACAAAATTAGGAAATGGTAGAGGCGTAAACTTTTTTTGTAATTTTGTAAACAGCTTTAGCTTTGCCCGGGTCCAAAAGTAGGCCCAACGGCTACGCTTACCTGCGCCAGCTCTCGCCACGTTATTTTGTGGGACCTGTATCTCTCTTTATTTGAAATATATTTCTCTCTCTATCGCTTTAACCTCTCTCCCAAGTTCCTGACAATACAAATTTTCTTACTCTTGGACATCTGCTCATTGAAGAACATTGAAGCATTTCAGGCTTCAGCGGATCCAGCAGTTACTACAAAATAGCAACAATGGTAGCACAGCCTTTTGCACTAACAGATAAGTTCAGGTGATAATAGATTAAATAATCAGTACAAGTTAAATGAGGAATTGTTTAATAGTGGTTTTAAACTTATGTAGGAAACAAAAAAAAACAAGCATGCCAATCAAATATTCCTCTTTTCGTAATAGAAATTATGAAAAAAAAAAAAAAAAAAAAACAATGTAGGAATAACAAAATAAACTGCAATAACTAAAATAGCATCTGATTATCGGCCTCGGCCTCGACCTCCAAAAGTCATGGCCCTGTTGTTTTGATTTTTACCTCCACGTTTATTGGGTTTGCCCTGAAATAAAATAAAATTTTACAATATGTAGATACATACATAGATAAATAGCATTGTGAAAAATTATAATGGTCTTAGGTCTAAGAACCTCGTTACACATGACAAAAGTTTTTTAGTTAAATTCTTCAACAAATTTTTGAAGAAAGTTTTGGGTAAACTTTGTTATGTATTTTAAACTAAAAATACTGTTTTTAAAAATCAATTTTATTTCGAAAATTACAATAGTGTTCTAGCCTAAACCTTAGTTAAATGAAGAATAACTTTAAGAGCATGAATATAAATATTTAGAAGCTCTGGTTTGCTACTTCCATTTCTTGGTAATTAAAAACAAAACAACTCTACAACTTTCTTCACATAACTACTTGCAGAATACATTTGTTTTAGAAAATTCCAGTCACTTCAGAAAAATGATTGTAAATAATGGTAATCAGATTATAAAGTTCCCCTAAAAAAAAAGCAGTGTTGTGTTTAGGCTCTGCTTGTGTCTGAACTGATTGCTTACTTGCTGCTCAGCTCAGAACAACTTATTGTGACAATTTGAACCAAATTTTTAATGGTAACTGGGTTTTTCCGATTTTTCTCTATTATCTAAACCAAGATTTAAACTAAAGAAAAATAAATAAATAAATAAAAATTTTGATAGTCAAGATGCTTCTTCATGTATTTCATTTTTTATACTGGTATGACATCTCTCATATATAGGACTATGACTAATAAAATTAGCGGTGGAGTATTAAGGTCAATTCTCACCTGAGTGAAGCGCAAGTGAGAATTGTCCTTTATAGTTTGAGTGATCTGAAGCTGATCATTCGCGCAATTTTGTTGTGATCACAATTAAGTAAAGAATTTGTATCTGCAACATTCTATTGTCTGGCTAGCGAAACGGCGAACTCGAATAGAATTTGCTGCTTTGCCAAACTTGACGGAAATTAGGAACAAAATAATAAACAAGTTCGTGACATATTTTTTTTTGCTATATGGGCATGTGTAGTATTTTAAAATGGAAATAAATCAGGCAACATTGCGAAATGATGGATGTGGAGAGGCGTGATTATTCAGAAACATGATTCTATTGGTTAGAGCCTGAACGACAGTACGCAGTGGCGTGGTTATTGGCGAAACTAGATAATCTTTTTTCTAATAATTTTATTGGTTTATTTCCTTGGTGTTTTCGGTGCCACTAAACTCAAAGACATGGCTGTCATCAGGCGGTGTCAGTTGAACTGTCAGTGAATATTTTTAGGTAACGCCCCACTTTTCTTCCCCCTTTCGTCTCTACCAAGTTACCACTTGCCAGACTATACATAGCGGGAAATGTGGTTATGTACAAGTAAATGATGAAAACTAGAGAAACAAGTTGTTTTCCGTGTTCAGAATTCTTCCTAGTTGGGGTGTTAATTGTGATTTTTAATACCCAACCATTTTTTGAGACCTTCGATTTCTCTGATGATTACTGATGATAATCGATTAAGGTCTCTGGATTTGATTTTACGAAACTAAAGTAACGAGGGAGCAAACCCAAATCATTTATCAGGTAGGAGTAGAGTTTAGGGAAACTTAACTTGTTTTGTACTGAATCTGAATTAAACTAAGCCAAGTTTTTTTTACTTCGCTCGTGGAATTATAAAGAACACACTTTAATGAAAAATCATAGTAGTGGTTCTATACTCAGTTCATATACTGTTGGAAAGTATGCGCTTTATATACCTAATTACATATTTCCTATTTGAAATGGGAAATTTAAGCTAAATTAATAAATAATGTTGGGTGTTTCACTTACTCTTCCTCTATATTGCGTTTTGAATTCTTTGCCCTTTTCGACTCCTCTGGCGCCACCTTGAAATTGCCTAAAGTCCACCATCGAATAGTCATATGAGTTGAATTCTTCTGGTTGATTAGGTCTTTGCGGATTATTACTATTTTTATTCTTATTGGATTTACCACCTGAAATAATTATCATAGAATAAGTTCCAATACAAAAATGGTTTCAAAAATAAACTTTGGATAAACAAATATGAGTTAGTTTTGATGGGATTTTTTCAGCACTTTGAAATAATCAACCACTCGCATCACTGCTTTTATTATTGTATCGGATTGTTTTCATTTGTCTATTCCACAATTACGTCCTATTTGTTTTGAAATTTTCAATTTTCTTACCTCGGCCCCTGTTGCCTTTTCCAGATCCTCTTTGGACATGACCACCACCTCCTCTAGGTCCCCTACCCTTCATATTTTGGAAAGAATTATTGCCTGAAAAACTAAAATGAAACAAAAAATTAGCAAATTTTATACGCCATAACATGATGCTTTGAAATGACAGATGAAAGTCTAAAGAAAATTGTACTAATAATAACTCCATTAACCATTAAGCCCGAATACAAACACTTCATCTACTAACAAAGCTGGCTTTCAAAAATATACAAGATAAGATCAAGGTCTTATTATATGACGTTTGAAGATAGAAACCATTATTTAATTTAAAAAAAAATTACCTTTCTTCATTTGATTGTTGAGCCAAAGCTCTTTTATGTTTCCTTTTATCCATTTTCATCTTGTTCTTTTCCCTCCTGCTCAATTTAGGCACAACACTTGAATCATCATCAGCAATTTTCCTTTTTTTATTCGGAACCTTTTTGTGTTCATCAGCATCTTCTTGTGCAGGATTAAATGGCATAAAGGGTGAAGTCGTTGTCTGATTTTCGGAAGTTTGATGCTTATTGGTGTCTGGTAATTTGGGTCCTTCCCTTTTTCGTTTTATGGTTGCGCCCACTTCCAGTAAAGAACTTTCGTTGGGTGGTTCCAGTGACGGAGGTAATGTTTGCCGGGCCAAAGATAAAAAGTGTTGTCTGATCTGTAAATGTAATAGAAATACAGGAGGGGTAAAACTTAATTTAATGTCACCACTTCTCATGTAAAATAGAACAAGACGTTGTTGCGTTTAATGGAATCAAAATATTAATTATGAATAAAAAATGTAACTTTATCAATTTATTACTTACAGATTCGATTCTTTCTTCATCGGTGCGAGTATCCTGATCATCATCAATAATATTAGAAGCATTACTTTCTGCTTCCTTTTTGGCCTTTTCTTTTTCTTCTTGCTTGGCTTTTTCCTCAGCCAGTTTTTTCTGTCTAGCTTCTATAAAAGGTTTCACTAACCTATATCTTTCAAACGGTCCCAAAAAATTGAAATTTTCCTTAAATTTTCGAAGTTTCGCACTCGCTTGGCTTTCTTTCTATGTATTAAATCAAGATAATTAGTTTCAAAATAAGAAATTATATTTTGTCAAAACTATTACCTCAGTATCCAATATTTTGGAAATCCTAAAAACAGAAAGTATAGAGTTTTGCTTCTCAAGGTGAAAATCGTTTTGTATCAGAGCCTCGGGATCTTCTCTATCTGAATTGAGAAGAGTGGGAAGATTTTCCCGAAAATCTTTATTTTTTGTTAAATCGTGAGGACAATACAATGAACTATCGACATTGATTTTTGTCATTATTTTTGTGGAACCTTTTGCTCTAGTGTCTTCTTTTAATATTGGCTAAAAAACATCATTATATAAAAAGTCTGAATAGCTTTTAATAAGAGAATAAATTATAAAGCAACACTTACTTCCTCAAATGGTTGTTCAATGGCTTTAAGCAAGATCTTGTGAAGTTCCAGCAAGTTCGATTTAACTAGAGGTGGTATTGGATTGCAACATCCTAAAATACCCTGCATTTCTCTCGGAAGCCTTTCAGATATTTCTAACAGCATATTGTTTGGTAAAACATATCTAGAAATAACATTTTGATTTCATTTTATAAACATCATTCAACTAGATACCAAGAAAAGCAACTTTGTTATGTTTATGGAAAAAATAATGATCTATACTTCAATATTTATCTCAATATTTTTCAAATATGTCTTACCCAGTACTTTCGTCTTCTTGCCTAGCAATATTATCCCTCCATTTGTAAAGGTGTTTGAAAGCATACAATTGCTTATTGTCAAACATTCTACGGCATCTTCTATACAATTCCAAGTGGCTATCGTCGTTCCAAAAGGGTTTGACATATCTCTGCAAACAAGAAATTGTTTCATAATAAAAAAAAAAACTCTGATTAAGTAAAAAAGTACCAGTAAAACTAGCATCATTAATAAAATAACTATTATAAAAAAACGGATTTACTGGAAAGTTCTGGACGAAAAACAAGTTGAAAGAGTGATCTTTCTAGAACCTTCAATATTGTTTTATTTGCAATTTAAACAAGGTATGAGAGCTTTGACTTCGCCACTGAACTTTATATTTGGGAACAGGCATCAAGAAATATTATTATGATATCAACAGTATTTTTCTATGGTAAACATATGACAGCAAATAGCCGAAACGGAGCAGGAGAATCGAATGTTGCTGGATTTGAAAAATATCCAAGGCTAGAAAAATTAAGAGAAAGCCTGGGGACAGCAAGAAAGGAAACATGCTTTATTGTCCAAGTCACAATAAACTTATTGACAAAGCTATACCTTAATACAAAATCCTAAAAAATAAGTGTATGGGTAAATCCATAGGTTAATCTATTAAGAAGGGCTTGGTATCGTCAATCGAAACATTAAAAGAAAAGTACATACACTCAAAAAAATCTTCATCATAATATCAATGAACTGCTTTCATCAATTATCAAATCAAATCAAATCAAATATGCTTTATTGTCAGATAAAAACAGTTAGTTCCATAGACAAAGCAGTACTTATAATCTAAATAGTACCTAAATCTTAAGCCCAAGTTAGAAACTAAAATGAACAGTAAAAAAAATAACAAACAACTAAGTAGCCAAAAACAATTAACAATCGGCGCAAAAAGACAATTAAAAACAAACTCAGATCTTGAACAAACTAACAGAAAATAAATAAAATCAACATAAAATTTAAAAATTTTACATGAGGGAGGTACAAAGTGGTTTATATGCAAATAGTGCAGCCAATTATACAAATAGCAAAAGTAGATGGTAAAAAAAAACATTAAAAAAAAAATAAAAAACTTAAACAGGTAGTAAAACAGTAAACATCAAATATGTAAAACAACATCTACAAATAATCATTGTCAAAAAACTCTGACAGATTATAATAAGCCTTTCTCAGGAGCATCTCTTTGACCTTTGCCCTAAATGATTTTTCTGACTGAATGTTTTTAAGATCAGCAGGGAGCTTATTATAAATTTTTATACTGCGGTATATAATTGAGTTTTGTGTCATTCAATATTTTGGAATGGGTAATGGTATGTTATTTTGATTCCTAGTTTGATACACTTGACTAGACTGGAAGCTTTTGTATTTCCTGTGCAGAAGAGTAACTGTTTCCAATATAAAAAGACAGGTTAAAGTTAATATATTTTCTTGTAAAAACAGTGTGGTCTACAGTGGTCTCTAATCTTAGCGCCACAGATATATCGGATGCACCTCTTTTCAATAGTAAAGACTGACCCAAACAGACCCTGACTGCAATTACCCCAAAAGGCTATTCCATAGCGTAAGTGCGACTCAACCAAAGCATAGTAAGTAGTTTTAGCCATTTTTGTACCGAGTTCGGAAAATGTTTTTCTTACCGCGAAACTACCGGCCGATAGTTTTTTATTCAGATAGAGAATGTGAGAGGAGAAATTCAGTTTGTTATCAATGAACATTCCCAAAAACTTCGTGTTGTCTTCTTGGTTAATTTTTTTTTTGTTCTGAGAGAATCAAATTATCAAAGGAAAACTTAAATCCAAGGACCTTGGTTTTATCAATATTAAAACACAGCCTATTGGAATCACACCAGCTCTTTATCTTTTGTAAATCTTGCTGTACAATTTCCTTTAGTATTGCCTCGCCACAACCGTCTACCAGGTCCACACCTAAGACTTCCAATTTAAATTTTTTAGAGCCAATCAGAGCAATAACGAATTCACCGTAGTTTTAATAAATATGCAGTCTATTAGAAGTAAGTTAGCTGAGTTGAATATTTTATTAGATGGTTTAAGCAACCCGACAATAGTATTATTATGTGAACACTGGTTGAAACCATATGAACGGTTAACCTTAGATAATTATGTACTTTTGGACATATTTTGTAGAAAAGCAGGGTACGGGGGGGTATTATGATTCACAAGGACTTTTATTCTCATTATTTATTTAAAACAGTTGACACTTTTGAAAATCACAAAGAAGAACGCCTATTTGAGTTGTGTGCTGTATATAGTAGTAGCATTAATGTTTATGTTTTGTGTATTTATCGTGCACCATCCAGCAATGTGTCTGATTTTTTGGCAAGGCTCGAATCTGTAATTTCCATTCTCCCTTCTAAATCAAAAATAATTGTTTGTGGTGACTTTAATTTGGATTCCTTGTCTATGGGGGATATTAGCACCATTTTCTTACACAACCTAATTAATTCTTACGGTTTACATCTGCATGTTGACAAACCTACACGTATAACATCCCATTCTTTCACATTAATAGATCATGTAATTTCAAATTTTGACCAAGGAGATGTTAAATGTAATGTGACAAATAGCGCACTCTCTGATCACGAGGCGGTATGGTGTAGTTTTGCAATAAATAAAAAAGAGAGAAGGAAAGCAAAAAGGTGGGGTAGATTGTTCACAAGAAAAAATTATGATAGGTTCACGCAACTTGCTTCTTTGGAAAACTGGGGTGATGTGTTGAGCTCTGCAGATCCATTGTCAGGTTTCCACTCTGTTTTAGCTAAAATTTTTAATGCAAGTTTTCCTTTAAAACGTTTAAAACAAAAAACAAAAAAAAGTTAGATTACTAAAGGAATAAGAGTTTCAGCAAAAAATTTAAGATGTCTCCACTATATAAGAAAATTCAATATGTGTAATGAATTTTTTGTAAATTATTTCAATAAGTATAGATCAATATATCGTAGAACTATAAAGGCAGCTAAGCAATCTTATTATGTAAAGAGAATTGCGTCTTCCTGTAATAAGCAGAAGACAGCTTGGCAAATTGTAAATGAACTTCGAGGAGATAATAAGTGTCTTAAGGAATGTTTGGATTCCAAATTAAACGCTACTGATTTAAATAAGTTTTATTGCAATATAGCCAACCATTTATCAAGCTTAATAAAAAGTAATTTAAATTTTGAAAACTTTTTAAATCATGTAAATATAACTGAAACATTCTTTTTTGTACCCACCAATGAACACGAAATTAAGGAAACAATTTTGGAGCTGAAGGGTAACAAGGCGCCTGGGTGGGACGGCATTTCCTCTAAAATATTTAACAAACTTCCTGAGAATGCACTTAGGATTCTAGCAGAAGCTATGAACCTCTCTTTTATTACAGGTATTTTTCCCCACTGTTTGAAGATCGCTAATATTGTCCCATTATACAAGGGTGGAAATGAGGAAAGCCCCTCAAACTACAGACCAGTGGCATTGCTGCCAACTTTATCTAAGGTTGTGGAAAAAATAGTTAAAAGGCAAATCCTTAATTTTTTGAAGAAAAAAAAATATCTTGACCACAGTGCAATTTGGCTTCCTAGAGAAAAGATCCACCAGTGATGCTATATTCAGTTTTCTGGAGGATCTTTACATGAGGATGAACGATCGACAGGTTGCAGCGGCAGTGTTTTGTGACTTGACAAAAGCTTTCGATTGTGTGAGTCACAGGATATTGCTGCGTAAACTGGAGATTTATGGATTTAGGGGTAAAGGACTAAGTTGGTTTCAATCATATTTGACCAATAGAGTCCAGTCTGTATCTTATAATGGGATAAGATCAAACCAACAGACTCTAAATAGTGGAGTGCCTCAGGGTTCGGTTCTGGGACCAATTTTCTTTTTAGTCTATATTAATGATATTGCAAACCTTAACATTTCTGGAAGCTTTACATTGTTTGCAGATGATGCAACAATTCTCTGGAGTGGTACAGATGAACATATTTTGGTTGAAACCATTAACCACGACCTGTCCTTAATAAAGAACTGGTGTGATTCAAATAAGCTGTGTCTAAATATTTCCAAAACTAATATTATTTCTTTCAAATGTAACCTGGGACCAGTTTATTTGGAAAATCAGATATTAAGTGGCACACCCCAAAGTAAGTTCTTAGGTTTGCATATAGATGGTAGATTGAAGTTTGAATGCCACATTGCAAACCTAAATAAAAAATTGGCATCAAATTGTTATGCTTTAAAAATATTTTCAGGTGAATTAGACGAAAATATTACGAGACAAGCATATTTTGCATTAATAGAATCCCATCTACGTTATGGAATATGTTTTTGGGGTTCTTGTGCTAAACAGCTAATGCATACAGTATTCATTTTGCAAAAAAGAGCAATCAGATACATGAGCAGGGCCAATTTGAGAGATTCATGCAAACCGCTTTTTGTTGCTAACAATATTTTAACATTACCATCTTTGTTTATTCTTGAAACAGTATCTCTAATTCATAAAAAGTATAGAAACACATTGAACCAACAAGGTTCGTCATCTTATGCCACCAGGCAAACGTATAAAATGTTGTTACCTGTTCCCAGAACCTCCCAAGTACATGACTCTATTGTTTTTAATGGACGTCAACTCTTCAACCATTTGCCTGTCAGTATTAGAGAGATTTATGAGGAAAGGAGATTTAGGAGGGAGGTAAAAAAGTTGCTCGTTGCGAGGGCCTATTATGATATACAAGAATACTTCAATGAAAGATTTTAACCATGATTTAAGCAAAAAAAGGTGTGCTTATGGATACTTTTTACTGTTCTGTGTGCTGTGTGTTTTTTTTTACTATGACGTTAAATTGTAAATGTACTGCTTTATTTTTAAATGTAAGATTTTATATTATTTTATTAACTGTTTACTGTTTGTGTTTCAATTTTATAATTATGTAATTTAATGATTCATATATATTTAGACTACGTAAACTAAGTCATATAAGTACACTTTATTGTATTTTTGATTTTGTAGGTTCTGAATTTATTCATTTATTTTTTTTATTTTATTACGTACCTTTTTCAGCTTTGTTTACAACATTACTTTGTTTAAAACAATAAAGCATATTTTGATTTGATTTGATTTGATTTGTGAGGCCACAGAATTGTGGTGTCGTCTGCAAAAAGTGTAATAATACCCTTGATGTCGAGCAGACTTAGGTCGTTTATATAGAGAGAAGGAATACAAAATTACATTTTCATTGATTCAGTGAAATTTTCATTAATCCTAAGTACAGAAAACTGTAAGTATTATGATTTCATGAACAGCTATCATTAGAATAAAGAATGAAGCTTCAGTAAGTTATGAATAGTCATCTATATGAATCTATGTTGAATAGTGCATTGGTTACATGAACTAAGTTCATTGATATTATGAAATTAAACCTTGATATTAAAGAAAATTTCTTTGATGGAGCTTCCACGAAATATTCATAATATAAATGAATATTAATATGAATATGGTTCATATAGCCTTACTAGAAACTTATCCTTTTAAGAACGAAATTGATAGATACAATGTACGGTTTATTTAAAACAAGCAAATATTCCTAGAAACAAAGCTGTAACCATTAGATCAAGATAAATCATAAATACAATGAAACAGTTCATGGCGTTAATGTACACATTTCCTAAATACATGCGCAAAGGTAGCTGCATTTGAGCAACGCCATAGAAAAATATGTTAAAATAAGAATTATTACATTTTTATTTTCTGGATGCATTGCTACGTACTTCGTTCTATTCGGTTTTTTCGGTCTTGTGCTGTTCCAGGTGTTAAATAGGCAGTCGGTTATACCTGTCGCCGGTTTTTTCTAAAAGGTAAGTTGTATACCTCTATTACCTCTATAATATGTATACCTATTATGTAGGTAGGACTTTAAAGCCTTGCACGGAGACCGTCTAGTCTCAAAATGGGAATGCGAAAGAAATGACCTACAGATTTTAATGTCATCCGTGGAGAACGTGAAATACAAGAGCGTTAGGAGCTCCTCAGAATTTCTAAAGAATACTGAAGTCTTCAAAAGTAAGTATACCCAATCTCAAATCAAGTTGTAATTTTTTTAATCGATATATTTTTATTAAATGGTTTTCTTTCACTAGGTAGAAAAGCACAAGATTCAATGCCGCAGCTAGTGTTTCATAGCCGGAAACCAGCTAAGTTATCAAATCTAATTTTCTGACGTGGCTTGTTTTAGAAACTTTGGATGTTGATAGTTCAAAAACAGCTGGAACAAACATAGACATATTATATATTTATGGAAACAGGATTTAAGGAGGATTTCAAAGATAGTACAATATACAGTAAGTGTCATTTAAGATAAAAATACATAAGTACTTAGATTTTTGAATTTTCAGATTTCGGGATGCCCATTGGTTTGTTTGACAATTCTGGAAGATGATACGAAGTATTCCTATTGCTCATATTCATCAGTACAGAGGTCACGCAAATATAAAAAATGATCCTGTACCCCATTTAAAATCATAAGTATATTTAAGGCATAATTCATGAAATTATTTTACTACAAATAAAGAATAGGGCACATATTATCGAAAACGTCATTAATAAATACAATGAATGAAATTCTTAGTATTCAAGACTTTGATTCATAAATACAATGAAAGGGTTTCATCGAATTATATCTGGGCTTCATTAATATTATGCCGTCGGTTCATCAGGCCAATGAAAAAGTACATATAAACTAAGAAGGATGTTGTCACTATGAAAAGTTTCATTAATACAAAAATCTTGCCACATACTTCAATGTTTGTTGTTCATACACAAGATGAATCGAAATTGGAATTAAGAAATTGTTCTTCCTTCACTAACGTAGAGTTCATGTGATCAAAGAAGCAGTTCTTTGGACCGATTTTGATGAATTATTCATTAAATCAAATAACAACTTTTTTTTATTTATGCTACTATTTGGTTGAGTGTAAAACAAGATATTCCAATAAAAACTATCATCTAATATTACAATCTGGTAGTGTATTGAAGATTTTTTGTTATTTAAGCGTTATTAACAATCAACATTAATATCAAAAAGAAAAACCGAGAGAAAAACATACAAAAGTTAAATGTCAGTAAAATCATAAAAACAAGTGATGTATAGAAAAATAAAAAGAATAATGCATTACAGCAGACATTAAATACTACACAAACCTAGACACAGAGTAATCCTAGAAATTAGGTGTAGGCACGCAACCAAATAAAAATCAGGAATTTTGAACGCAGCAAAGAAAAGTGCAAAAAAGTTACCAATGATAATAAGTCGAGTAATATAAGTATAAAAGTATACATATAATAAAAATAATAGTTTTAGTTGTGTAAAAAAGAGAAGCATAATAACAAAAATAAGAAGGGCTGCCTATGTGTTTTTTTTAGAAGGAAACATTAAAGTTTTCATCAACTGAATAAAATATCTGCAACAGCCGTGCTTCTGTAACTGTTTTTCTGAACTTTGAGAGCTCAGAAATTTGCTCGAAAGATGATAGTAAATTTAATGGTATCATAGATAATGGATTTTTTAACAAAAGTTGAATGAGGAATCAGAAAAGGTATATTAGTATTTCGTCGAGTAGGACTATTGCCTTGATGTGCAGGAAATTATCAATAGTAATATAACGAGTGCAATGGAAATTATCGATAATTTTTGGGAAATTTGCCCGAATGCATTTTTAGTTGAAAAAGAGTGAGTGCCTCTTTCAGTTGAAAACTCATGAGTGCAAATTTGTCGAAAACTATAGATATATTTCCATTGCACGAGTTGTATTTTATGAGACTATTTCACTAGAGTGTTTTACACTGGCAAAATGGCATAGGAACGGCCGGTTACCTACTGACAAAACTTCTACCTGTTCCTACCTGGACAAAACCAACATGATGGTTTTTCAGCGACAAAATTTTGTGTGGTTAATGTAAAAAACTATTGAGTTTGACAAGTGTCACCTAAAGAAAATAAATTTTTCAAATAAAAATTTGGCATGTTTCTCTCGTGAAATAGTCCAGCCGAATACCACTGAAGAAAAAATTATGTAGGCAAAATTGGACGGCATTAAGCAGAAAGGAACCAATCCACAAAAAATTAAAATTTGAACCAATAATACATTTTGAATGTGGTTTAGGTATTAATTCTTTTCGCAAAAAAGAACCATGCATCAAATGGCCATTTCTATAATAAAAACTACAAAAAAAAAATCCTAGAATGAAAATCACACTTTTCTATTTCATAGAAAGAAACCAAAAAAAAGGTAGTCAAAAAATATATTATTCTTTATTTTGCAAAATGGATCCACTAGACATTGGTTCACTTTTATATTGATATTTATTTCTCAAAAAAGAACCAGGAGAAAATGGTTTTTTTAATTAACAAAAAAGACGAAATTTTATTTTAGAATAAGGAACCAATATACATTGGTTCCCTTTTTTTAACATATTAACTTGTTAAAACCTGTCAGTTGAGTACGTCTAGGCGAATAAGGTTTTGTGAAGTTTTTATGTTATAGTGGGTAGTGCTGAAAAAGTGCAAAATTCATCATTTTATCATGTCACGCCGTGGAAAGCGATTACTTGAATTAGCCCTCAAAAAATACGAAGGTAAATATCACAATAATTATTATTATCTGTTCTGGGATTAATGCAAAATTATATTTCTTTATTTTGAAACAACGGTTGGAGCGTTTATGCAACAGAGGGATATCCATTCAATCAACCTTTTTCATTATGGGTGCTTAGATTATGTAGGAATTTTCTTATGTTGCATAGCTCAATGTACCAACGGTGCATCTAGTTATGTCTACAATCAACCTTTTTTTTAGATGATAAATTGTTAAATTTGTCAAGCACCTCATCAGGGAATTACAATGATTATTCTATGTCAGGTACCGAGGTGTCTGATAGTGTGATAGGCCAAGGTAAGTGAAACAGAATAGAGTTACTTATTAATCATATTTTTAATAAGGGAATTTATGTTGTAGCAGAAGACTTTGGAAGCAATCAATATACTCCAGATTTAACTGAAGCATCTAACGAATCGATTCGCATGAAATCGGATAATATTGCACAGGGATGTGGAACCTTGCCTGGAACAGAATCAGTCTTAGATGAAAGCCAAGGTAAGTATAGTGGAATATAATTGCTGATTTCTCATATTTTTAAAATGGGAATTTATGTTGTAGCAGAAGACTTTGGGAGCAATCAATTTACTCCAGATTTAACTGAAGTATCTATAACGAATCGATTCGCATCAAATCAGATAATATTCCACAAGGATGTGGAACCTCGGGTGGAACAGAAGCAGTTTTAGATGAAAGCAAAGTATTTGTTTATAATTCTGACACATCTTCTTGGATTGATATTGAAGCGCTTCAGCAAGCAACTTTGTGTCAATCCCCATCTTTAGAAAACATAATGGGATTAGACAATATTCTAGATACGCCGATTGTGGAGAGCTGCGAGTTTCACAACCAAGTACAAACATCAGAAAATTTTGAAGTAGAGCATATGAGTTATCTTCAGGACGAAATTGAATATGAAAAAACAGATCCAGATTATGGTCCAACCATAAGCAACCAGAAAGAGTCTGATGTAAATTCAGATAATGATCCTGAGGTTCTTGCAGTGACCGCTAATAATACTCCAGTTAGAACCACCAGAGATACAACTTTGCAATCGTTGGAAAATATAATAGTGCTGGATAATATCCAAGATATGCCGGTTGAGGAGAGTTTCGAGTTTCGCCATCAATTACCAAGACCAGAACATTTCGAGAAAGAGCTTATGAGTGATTTTGAAGATGAAAATCTTGAAAATAGAACAGATCCAGATTATCAGAACGAATCTGATGCAAGTTCAGATAATGATCCTGAGGCTGGTGTAGTGTCCGATAATAATACTCTAAATAAAACCACCAGAACTTCCAGAGGAAGAAAACGAAAATTTTAAATGCAAACAAACGTTAATGCAAAAAAATTAAGAAATAGTAACAAAGAATATTATAATTATAAAGGGAAGCTTGTTAAACAAAAATGTTTTCAAGATTTTCAGTGCCCCTGTAAAGCAGAATGCCACAATAAAGTTGGACAAGATGTAAGAGAGGAAGAATTTAACAAATTTTGGGCGTTAGGTGATTACAACAACCAGAATATGTTTCTTGCAGCTTCTATGAGGGAGAAAGAGAAAGCTCGACAATACACTAACAGGCCATCAAAAAGGCAATATTCTAGAATATACACTCTCAGAGCAGTCCCTGTTTGCCGTGAAATGTTTTGGCATACGTTTCAGGTATCAACCAAAAGAATAAACACTGCGTTACAAAAAATACGATCTGACGATTTAAAAGATAAAAGGGGACAAAAACAGGGAGGAAAGAACAAGACAAGTGATAAAAAATTGGAGACAGTCAAGGAACACATCAATAAACTTCCACGATACAAGTCACATTACAGGCGTGATAACACTGATGCCGAATTTCTTTCACCTGAAATGACCCTTATAAAAATGTATGACTTGTATGTGGAAAACTTAATTGGAGAAGAGAGGAACAATGAGATAAGGGAATGGAGGGAAGGAAATGAAAAAAATAAAAATGATATATTGAAAGATATTGATGCAGTAAGTTTTTCAACTTATAGGAGAATATTTTTAAATGATTTTAATTTAAAATTTAAAAGTCTAAAGAAAAACACGTGTAACACATGCGATTCCTTTGCTGCTAGAATACAGTCGGCAACTGGTTCAGCCAAAAACGTTTCAGAAGAGGCACATAACAAACATATAGACCTTTGGAGAGAAGCTCGAAATCTCATGAATCATGACAAACTAGAGGCTCACAAAGTGAAGGAGTTTGAATGCTTAAGTTATGATCTGGAAAAAACGTTACCTCTTCCTCGAATTCCTACTGGTATCGTTTTCTACAAGAGGCAGTTGTGGTTGTATAACGCTGGTGTTCATTCTTTTAAAAACAATCAAGGATATTGCTACGTTTGGACAGAAAATCAAGCGGGTAGAGGGGCTCAAGAAATTGGTTCATGTTTGATTAAGCATATTGAGACCAAAGTGGAGAGTGGAATAAAGGATCTTGTTTTGTGGAGTGATTCATGCGGTGGCCAAAACCGGAATATTAAGATGGTCTTGATATTAAAATCGTGCCTTGAAACTCATCCCACCCTGGAAACAATAAAAATGAAATATCTTGTATCTGGACACAGCTTTTTAGCTAATGACACTGACTTTAGCGATATTGAAGGAGCATTAAAACATGTACAAAGGCTTTATTTGCCGTGACTACGTCCAAGTTATGAAAAGAGCTAGAAAAAAAAACCATTTATTGTAACTGAAATGCAAAGTCTTGATTTTTTTGGGACACAAAAATTGGAAAAAGCCATAGTTAATAGGAAAATAGACGAAGAAAAAGAAAAAATAAACTGGCTTAAAATTCGAGAAATCAAATTGCTAAAGGAAGAACCTCTGAAACTATATTGTCGTAATGACTTTCAATCGCCATATTCTGTTATAAACTTAGAACGTAAACCTGCTAGAGGACGACAACAAAATGAAATTTCTTTTAGAGGTTTACTTCAGCCAATGTGGGAAAAGGGAAAAGATATTGCAGCCCCAAAGTTGAAGGACCTAAAGTCCCTATTACATCTTATTCCAGCTGATGCTAAGGATATGTATCGCAATCTCTTTGGTAGTCGCGACGTGGAGGATGATGTGAATGGATTTTGTATTCCGCCTGATTTTGAGCCAGACAATGTTGAAGAGGTGTAGTTGATAAGATATTAGAAAAAAAAAATGTATTGATGAAAATAAATATTAAGTTGTAAGGTGAATAAAAACCAATTATGTTTTTTAATTTTGTCACATAAAAAGCTTTGCGACCAAAAATGCATTATTTTTGATTTCATTAAAACCCTATTAGTCCGGGGGCCGAGGACCTTTTTTCCAAATCATTAATAACAAGCTAGTTTTTTCAATGCAGCTTCATTTCACCGAGACGCCCAACTTTTTTCTCTTCGAAAATTGCGAAAACAGGTAGCTAACATACTGCGCAGGTGTAAAACATGTCGATTTGGTGACTATGAAAATTTAATTAATAACAGTTAGTTTTTCACCTAAATGTTGAGATAATTTTATGGATAATTTGAAACAACATTTGTCCGACAAAATAAAGGGTTTGGTCTACGATGTCCCCCACCTCAAACATGTAGCAATTACGTTGCATAAAAAATGATTAATAACAAGTTGATTTTTTCAATGTAGGTTGGTAAATATTATTACAATTAAATGGTCACACTGTCCTACAAATAAACAGGTAGCTATTTTCAGTCCTACACTCAAAAGTTGTCGATTTCACGATTTAACTTTTTTCATTAATAACCGGCTAAATCTTCGTGAGTATCTTCATTTTGATAAGACGCCCAAATTTTCTGTTGCGAAAATTCCAAAAACAGGTAGCTAACAGAGTGCGCAGGTGGAAAAGATGTCTATTTGGTGATCATGAAAATGTAAATAATAACAGTTAATTTTGTAGCTGAATGTTGAGATAGTTTCATAAATAATATGAAACAACATTTGTCCGACAAAATAAATGGTTTGATCTAGGCTGTCTTCCTTCTCAAACATGTAGCAGATACGTTACATAAAAAATGATTTATAACCAGTTGATTTTTTTAATGTAGCTTAGTAAATATTACTACAATTAAATAGTTACACTGTCCTACAAATAAAGAGGTACATTTCTCCAGTCCTACACTCAAAAGTTGTCGACTTCACCGTAATACTTTATTCATCAATCACCGGACACCGGCTTAATCTTCTCGAGCATCTTCGTATTGATAATACGCCTAACTTTTCTATTGCGAAAAGTTGCAAAAGTAGTAGCTACTAGAGTGAGCACTAGTGAGCACATATAAAATACCTTGATTAGGTGATTATGCAAATGTAATTATTAACAGTTAACAGTTAATTTGTCACGTGAATAATGAGATAATTTTATAAATAATTCGAAATTCGATTTGAGCCACAAAATAAATGGTTTGGTCTGCAGTGTCCCCTTTCTCAAAAATGTAGCAATTACTGGCTCATAAAAAACGATATATAACCAGTTGATTTTTTTACTGTAGTTTGGTAAATATAACTACAATTGAATGGTCACATTGTCCTAAAGAGGTAAGATTTCTCAGCCCTACATTCGAGAATTTCGAAAATAGCCTTATGCATATTGTAATAATAATAATAATAATAATAATAATAATAATAATAATAATAATAATAATAAATAGCCCGTAATAAGTGATTATCAACAAAACAAACCAAACAGCTCTACTTGTAGATATAGCAATACCCAACAATCAAAACATTAGAACTAAAGAAATCGAGAAGACAACAAAATATGAACAGCTGACGATAGAAATTCTGAGAGTATGGCAGTTGAAAAAAGTGGAAATAGTCCCCATAATAGTATCCTCTATGGGATTGGTACCAAAGAGCCTGCAGATCAATCTAGGCAAGCTAAACCTGAATTACAAAATATCAACGGACATGCAAAAAGCAGTTGTCATAGATGCCGTAGGTATAGTGAGATCTTTTCTTCGTTGATACACACATCTACTATGTCTTGACGCAAGTCCGACATAGATGGATAAGATCCCAATAAGGAGAAAAAAAAAATAAAAAATAAAAAAAAATAATAATAATAATAAATAATAATTGAGGGGGTGCGTTAATTTGTTGTTGACGTGTTCCGGCGATTTCCCGAAATCTGTCTCTTTAGGCAGATAACGTGGGTGGCAAATTTCGAAATGAAAGCCCCTGTATGTACATATGTACGTATACAGATGCGTGTATAACAGTATATGTGTTATGTGTATGTACACATACCTACATTTTTGTCGATGGTTTCCATTCGCATCGACGCGCATGCTCGTAAATAACACAGTGGGCGCGTTTGGGTTCACGCTCGGTGCGCTCAGAGCTTGCACTTTTGTCTCTCTTCCGTTATTTTTGAAGCTCCGACAACGCTTGATTGTGTTTGGTTTGACTTATTTTGAGCGCTCAGAGCGAGCTCGATAAACTCCGAGTTTGTGGAGTGGGCAGCTGGAGGGTGCATGCGCAGATATGTGTTTAATCTGTTTAGTATAACCTAACCTATTTTCCATGACATGATAACATAAATAAACAATCCTGAATTTTAACATTTATTTGTTAGCTGCATAGTTTTAGCTATTTTGTTTAAATGTTAAGAATTATACAGAATACATTCTGCATAATTGTGTACTTTTAATCAAATTTTCTCGGTATTAGTCCTCATCACTGGTATTATTGAACATATATTTCCAAGGGAACTTGGCAGCCTCAGTGGTTAGGTCCATTATTGTTTATGTAGCACAACATTTCTAGCAGAACACAAAAGAAAATGGGGCAAACGAGAAAACTCAGTGGAAAACTCTGGTGCAAATGCGGAATACGAACTCGGACTCAAAAAGACATATCCTAAAAAAAAATAAACAATAATCAGCTGATCGCTCAACCCAGCACTTTTGCACGAGTTTATTTGGCTTGACACGGTGTACTCCTTGTGACGTCACGCTACTCGGTAATCGCTCTGCTCGCTCCGCCGAGCTTCAACCCAAACACGCCCAGTATCGTAGTATAGGGTGATTCAAAAAGCGCGCCAGATTTGAATTGCTCGAAAAAGAGTTTTGGTATGCCATCAAAGTAGAGGGGGCCATGCCCTTTGTCATTTTCCATACCCAGATGGAGAAGGTTTGATCCAACCGGTTCATCTTAATTCTAAAGATATTTAAAAAAAATAGAGCTCCTTTTTTAATGTTAATTAATACAGGGTGTTTTCTAAGTTAGAGTTTCTCTTTTTAAATAACGTGGAACTCAAAAAAATACAGGAGTTTCCCAAATAATATTTTCTCGACAGCTCAAAAATA